GATGATAGAAGAGGAGAAGCAGAAGGGTCCTGGTCATCAGGCAGTACAGCCGCGCTGATCAAAGCACTCAACATCGAGTCGCCTCAACGCGCCAAAATATCATTACCGAACAAGACCTCCTCTCCTCTTAGCAGCCCTGTCAAACTCGAGTTCCCTACGGATCGCGAGTCGAAGAGGGTTGTTGGGGAGTGTTGGCGTTGGTGGCCATCTGCAAGCAAAGGGGTAGGTAATGAGCCATAGTAGAATGAACTTGGATTATACTCACTGCACGACGATTTTCGTTGAATTCAGCTTCACGTCTTCGTGCTCGTAAGCGGTACCGAATGACAATACATGCAGCCACGGTAAGGACAATCGCGCCCAATACGCCTACTACGATAGCTATTATTGTTGGTAGCTTTTCCCTGTTCCCCGTGTCGGAGGTAGATAGCAGTAGTGTGGGCCTATTATCGGAGGGCGATGATGATATCGATGCCGAAAGCGTTGTTGAAGCTAAAGATGCAGAATCGACCGTCGAGAACGAAGCATAAATAGTCTTGTAAGTCGTAATTACTGGCATAGCAAGATAGAAAATGACGCTATGGGGGGAGTGTGTCGGAGGCGGAAAGGAGGAAAGGGGATGGGGAGCGGGTCGGAGAATGTGGTAGGGGATAAAGGATGTGAGCCCAAAATAAGCAGATCCCACGTTGTTTTGTCACACGCTTGTGTATTCCTTTGTGTCCTTTTTGCCTCTGCCAGAACGCGAGGGCGCTTGACGGCCATAAACACTTGCCTAGTTTGGCATCGGCGCATCTGCCTCCAAACCCTGCCCTTCACGAAAGACTTGGTTGCGACTTTCATGCGCAATTAAAATCATAGAATAGTTTGAACATAGCTTCATAAATGATTGCGACATTCTCGCCGATGATTCATCCAACATTGCTCGCCTCCAACGAAAATCTAGGATGAGCCAACCTGTTTCGGGATCCACGAGTGAAAAAGGGCTCTTCAGATGGATGCAGAAAACTAGTCAACCGACAAGGCGTCTCGGGGTCGATTCATTCTCGCTAATGGTGAACCTAAGTGAATAGGAGATCGTTCAGACCGATGTGAGTGGTGGTTAAAGCTGTGGATTAGGTGTAGAATTGATCGCTTGATAAAGAAACTATTAGGATTTATCAGGTATGAGCGTAACTTCAATGCTGTAAGGCCGGACAATGGTGCATGACATACGCCACCACATGGGCGTACCATAGGAGTTTGACTTATCTCCCTACCTTCACTATTTTTCGAGAGGGACCAATGCCTCCAACCACGACGGAGAAGAACACAAACCAACCTGCGAAGCTGTTTGGACGCGGGCGAGAGGCAAAACAGACTGGAGACCCACCGGTTGTGACGGAAGAGACGACAGCATGGGAGATATACAACCATAAAGCACACGAAGTCGATCGGGAGATGATAAAGGACTGGAATGACATTTTAAATACACTCTTAATTTTCGTAAGTCGTACACTATAAAGCCCCTTCAAATACGGTATCCTCTGTGTCTAACCCACCATTATCGACAGACTGCCTTATATTCGGCTGTGTTGACGGCGTTCATTATCGA